TGATATGCACAGTCCTTGAAGTTGATTGGTCCACACCCGAGACAGCTTTTCTTAGAGCCTAGTCGTCATTGGTGTTGGACCAGATGACGCCATCAAGGTGTGGACCAATCAACTTCAAGGACAGTGCATATCATTACCATTATCAGAGTTGTTTCTTTTTGTTTGCATTTTGACTGCTTGTGTTGTGGTTATTGCAAACATGATGCCTTGCATAAACGTGTCAGTTTTTGTACCAGTTTATAGGATAAAAACCTACTACTACACGTAAAGGATTTTCAGAGCTTGGGCAATTGTTATTATCAACGGCTCACCGCCCGACTGCTGATGCCTTCCAGTTTGGTCTGCGGTTCATGCTCGGCGATTGTGAGACGTTAAATTGACGTGAACAACGACGCTCTACACATATACACACACACACAACTACACCACGTGATTAGTATTAATACTCAACAATGGCACGACTTGACGATAGACCTTTCGACGGGCTGTTTTCACGCTTCGTAGGAAGAGGCTGTTTCCATACCTGTCAACCCCTTATCAGCGCCCTACCTTATTACAGAGAAATTCAGACCTTATTGGTCACCCCGTGTCCCTTATACATCTCAACGTTCATCCTACAAAGTCCCATCACAAGTGAGAAACACAAACAAATAGACACATTTTTTTTGCCCATATTTAAACGGCTGTACGACGAATGGACCCGAAAACTCGATTTCCCCGTGCAAGAATACGGGGTAAACCGTACGGGGTTGACAGCGATACTGTCCTGCATTTCCCTACGCATCTCGTTGACCCCCGACCCACACCGGTGCCTCGCTACTGACGACGTAACACCTACGGCACGATGCTCCTCACTCATCGCACGCTGCACGTGGCCTGTTAACGCGGCACCAGGATAGCCTCAACTAAGGCTATTTATCTTTAACAGGAGGGTCCTGCCAAGCTTTCGCAGTAGGGGGTCATCCAAATTGAGTAATTTGCAGCTTTTCCTTTTCAACACTGGAGTTTAACCAGAGAATTGGTGGATCACGCAAATTCGTGGAACTCCCTATCTAAGGGCGTAATGCTTATAATCTCCTGGCTAACCAGGGTATGGGAGTACAGTAAGTGGGTTTAATTTACATCTGTATTCCATCTGTACAGTACTCTACGGGAATTGAGTGTTTCCTAACTAACACGCGTGGGTTTTCTCTGAGTTATGCTGTTTTCTCCCAAGTGTATAATTACGCATTAATGGAATTAGCCTAACAGCCCGATATAGGACCGCAGAACTTTGGCAATTGTTGGTGACCGCTTCTGGCTGCCGTTCCAAGGACTCGTTGGTGGTTTCCCGTGTGTCTCCGTGCGCTTTTCAGATGACATTTGCGTGAATGACGCTGCGTAAGAATAATAGATAATTATTATTTAAAACAGCGGGGTTTAAAACGTGTCTGCAGCCAGGGGCCACGGTTCCACGTCTCCCCACGCCACCGAAACGCGTCTAATGCAGCGTCAGAGCGACCATTGCCCGGACGCTTAATATTTAATGACGCTTCATTCTGCGCAGAGGGAGCTTTGATTTTTCCACTGATCCCGCATGGAGGGGGGTGGGGGGGGGGGTAGCACGGGGAGAGAGGGAGGGGCGGTGATGGGGGGTGGGCGGAGATGGAGAGAAGGCGGCTGGAATGGAGGAGGATGAGGGAGGGATGAAGGGTCAGGGACGAGAGGTTCGGGGAAGAGAGGGAGGGAGGCAATGGGGGGGGGGGGGGGGGATGAAGAGAAGGAGGCTGAGATGGAGAGGACAGCAAGGGAAGGATGGCGGGTCAGGGGAGGGAGGAAAGGGAATGTGACAGAGAAGGAGAAAGGAAGAGATGGAGCCAGGAGGCAGTGAGGCAGGCACCATTAGTGGAGGCAGATGAGGATCGTTGATTACGGAGTGTCTGCATCCTGAAGCTGTTGAATTTCCAATGCACAGGTTAAGAGTGAAAATATGTCTTTGTTCTGTAAGCGAAGCTTAGTCTTGAGATATAATTATCATCATGACCACCACCATCGCTTGGTTGAGTAGGCCTCGGCAAAGTAAGGTTAAAGGTCTAAAGCAACGAGCCTACCTTTATCCTACATTTTACCCTTACCTCATACAAATTACCCGATTACAGGGTAATTACTGGGGTACTACTACACATGAACAAGGTTTATAACAGGTAAATGCTAGGTAGAGCGCTTTATTCATATAGAATACTATCGATGATTCCAATTTTAAATGGAGGCCACGGATTGCGCCAAGGAGCTTTTAGCGAGCGGCAAACAAGGTATTTACCGGGTAATACTTCGCGCTACCTTTACCCTACCCTTTACCTTACCCCTTGGCATGCCGACACCTTTACCATTTAACCCTATGGTTGAGTGAAGATGAACGCATCACAGAGCGCGCAGCTCAGGTGAGCATGCAGTGGACACTCTCGCAGTCAGCGCAGGCTTCACGGCTGCCCGGAAAACACTCTGAGATGTGGCGGTGGTGGTGGTGAAGGAGGAGGAGGTGGCAGCGATGGCAGTAGCGGTACACCAGGTAGGTTTGCAGCCACCCGTTGCGAACGTGACACTTTAAGCCATTCCGTGACCTTACTGCGGAGCTCAGCTGCCCAACGCGAATTGCTATCAATTACGAGTCGTAATCGTGATTGAAGCTTTCGTCACTGCAGGAATACATATTCTTTGGTTCTTTCGGTAAAGTCACGTAGAGAGAAAATAATAGATTGCGACGTTTCGATCGCAACACAAGCGGCAGTCATCAGGTGAGACAAACACAGCAGGAGAACCGCTGACAGCAGTGATCGATTAATTTTATATCTAAGTGACTTCACCGAAAGAACCAAAGAGTATAATGACGAGTCTTGTTCTCGGCCCGGGGAGTTGTTTCGCCGTAGCCGCGCTCGGAGCGCTTAATTAATACATGGGGGGGGGGGGGGAGGGAATCATCCACGTTGCTCCTGGGAGGCGAGCTGGAAGATCTCAATATTACAGCTCTCGCGGTGCCCATGGGACTGCCGAGAAAAGTAAGCGGGCTTGGGCAGGACACGTCAGAGGGGGGATGTACTGGAGGGGTGATGGCCAATTGTTGAGATCGGGGCTTGATTTCAGCCGGGGGTCTGTCTCGGTCCGGCGGATATGTCAGTACCCTGCACACCACATCAAGTGTACCTCTTGTTATGAACATGGCTACTACGAGTCACATGCCATATACGCTCGTCTTCCAGCTACTCGGGACCGGCACACCACATCCAGTATGCTTCACGCTACAGCTGCGGCTACGACCAGTCACGCGCATCCTACTCCAGGCTACCAGCGACGCAGACGACGTTCAGCGAGAAATGAAGCCCTGGTCGAGACTGGTGATGGAATGGCAGCTCAAGAAAAAAAAAAGAGAAGAGAATGGCCCGAGAGGAGAAACCGCAGTGGAGAGGGCGCGCTGAGATCCTGTCATACACAGGAGTGAGATGGGCCGTGGCCTCGCACGGAGAGGTCCCTGGATCGATCTGTGCTGTTATTTCCGTGTTGTTATCTCTCCACATGCGCGGTGGGGTTTCTCCAGCTATTCTGCTTTACTCCCACAGACAAACAACCCAATGCGGAATCCTCTTGAAAACAAAGTTTTGAGATTTTTGATTTAAAGCTTTCGTGACTGCAGGGATTCATCTTCTTGGTTCTTTCGGTAAAGTCACGTAGAAGGGAAGTAATAAAATAATAAAAATAAAACATAATAAAATAAAATATTTTATTTGATTTTATTTATTTATTTTATTTTATTATTTTATTTTATTATGTTTTATTTTTATTATTTTATTACTTTTCTTCTACGTGACTTTACCGAAAGAACCAAGAAAAAGTATTGAGATTCAGTGAGGGTTTCAAAGTGAAATGTGTTATTATTACCATAGAACTATGACGGATGGCGACTGTATGTGGATGCCTTCATCCAGCAGTGGATAGATAAGGGCTCACGCCGATGATGGATGCGATCCCAGCACCTGCGAAGCTGCTCTCGCTGTGTGTCGTGTCGCTGCGGTGGTGTCAGGTGACGCAAAGGCAAAGATCCCTCGTGTAGCCTTGCTAGACAGTTGGGGCAAGTGCCGTTAGCGAGCAGCACCTATGAAGGCCGGCACGGCACACGAGTTGGTTGGGTGACTAGCACCACGCCCGACCGCCTTTGTCTCCCGAGTGGCGATGTTTACACACCGCACCAGGTCAACGCGTGTCTCTGTGGTGCTGTCGGTCAACGCGTGTCTCTGTGCTGCATTGCCAAGCCTTGCGGGCACCATTATCCCAAATGAGCACCGAGACCTCTCTCCTCCTCCTCTTTGCTCACCTCCCCGCTCACTTCCGCGCTCTTCAACACTGACCCCCCATCGTGTCCCCGCTCACCTTGCCTCCATCACTCGCCCCCTCTACCGCTTCACTTCTCACTCCCTCCAACCCTCCTCCACTCTCTCACCTCCATCACACGCTCCGTCGTTCTCCGCTCGTTGTCTGTCTCTTTTTTGCGTACTCCCCCACCTCTCTATACACTTCTCTTATCTCCATCGTAACTCGAACATGGAGAAAACAATCTCTAGGGGTGGGTGGAGGGGGGTGTCTTGGCATTGCGGGGTGCAGTGGGCTCAGAATATTTATAACGCGTAAATACACGGATTCAGCAACGAATTAATTCACGAACGCAATTAACGATGGTTTCGCTATGGGGGCTTTTAGGAAGCAACTTCAATATTCAGACGCAAAATGTTGTCGCTGTTTTTTGTCTCCAAAAAATATTAAACGGAAGAACATCCTTCACCGTTCTCAAACAAATGATTTAATCATGATTGTTTTTCAAAATATTTCTTTTTTTCTTTAAAATTACTCCGAGCATCTAAGCGCAAGCCCCGGGCCACGATGTTAATTAAGATAATGAGGCATCCCGCGCATCTCTCGATGAATGAAGCTACAGATACCGTTTGTTGTTGTTATTGTTGTTGCTGATGTTGTTAAAACTCGATGGAACCGATGCGCGTCTCCGCTCCTCCGCGTGCTATTTCTGGCGGAACCGATGGCAGAGAGAATCACGCGCGATTCAGCCGCCTTGTCAACACGTGAGCATCGCCTAACGAGTCCCAAGACTCCAACCACTGGATCGTCTATCTTTGGCGACCGTGCTTTCGGGATGTGCCGCGCGAAGCCTGCCGTTGTCCCTCCTCACGCACGGGAGCACGACGCGTCCTGCCCAAGCGACGATCTCCGCGTTCCTTTTTCTGTTCTGTCGGTGCAATTCCAAAGCGTGCATCTCCCCGCTCTTCCTCGCGTACTTGTCAACCGTTGGTTCATGTCCCTCGTCAGGGTGGATGTTTCTGGAGCCGTCGCTGTCGAACAGCACGCGGTACAAACCCGGAGACACGATGGGAAGGGATTCTAGATTTGAAGCTTTCGTGACTGCAAGGATTCATATTCTTAGGTTTTTTCGATAAAGTCACGTAGGTAAAAAATTTTAATTCATAAAAGTAAAATAAAAATAAAATAAAAATCACGGCTTTTCGGAGGCAACACAAGCCATTTTTTTCTGCAGGCGCGTACTGCTATGGGGCATGTATAGAGTTACTCCGTTGTTTATTTTGACCTTAACATGTTTTTAATATCCACGCGGGAGCCGAGGAATGGGTTTTGTTTGCGAGAACACGTCAAATGAGGAGATGGAGCAATGTAATCGTGAGCTCGTGTGGAGGTGCTGGGTGGATTATGACATTGCAGGATCGTGAGATGGTGGTGGCTTGGGAGGGGCCTTCATCCAGCAGTCGATAGATCATGGTCGACGATGATGATGATACATGCAGGCGCTAACTTGAGTGCCCTGAGATAGCTTGCATGTGAGCAGGTAATACAGATTTGTAAACAACCTACTCGCTGCACTGCCTTCTATTCCCGATTGCTCCCTTGCTACGCCTCACACAGGCTGAATCTCAGCATGAGTCACCAACCCCGCTTAGAATTCGGTCGATGAGGGACATGCTGAATCATCAAACCCAAATCATATTCGAATTAGTGTATATTCAAATAATATTTTAGATTTTCTTCCAATTAGGATATCAACATCACCTGATAAAAAGCATTAAATTGAGTAGACTCACAGTGAGTAATATAACACGACCCTGTGTTCGAAGACAGCCCGTGGAACCTGACATTGCAGAACTACTTCTGGGGCCCACCCATGCAATTGCCTCTCATTCACAGTAGGTTGTGTAGCCTTCTCACGTGTCCTGCCATGGAGGTGATCGTTGCATGGTAAACAAACCAATCATATATTTTAGTCCCCAGAACTCTCATATACTGATTTGAGTGAGAACCTAATTTAGAATTATGATTTTTTTTCTGTGTTTGTGTAGCTATTCATTACCGGGTCTAATGCCACCAACTCGCTAGACTGAAGAACTCGGTTTTGGATGAAACGGAGAGTCGATCCCAGGTTCTCAGTGGTGCTAACACAGTGCGCCTGAATTAAGCGAACATCTAAATTTCACATACAGTATTTTCTTTCTCGAGCAATGAATGAGCGGGCTGAAGCCACCAACTGACGACGCCTGCGAACTCAGCTTTGGATAAAACCTGGATTCGAACTCAGAATCTCAACAGTGTTGGCGCCATGCCCATGACTCGGCCATAGCGAACAGCCCCGCTTTGAGCCGTCAGACCCACCTAGACCTCATTCATATCAAAGGCTCCCGAAATCGCATCACGTCCTCCTGCGGTTTAACACGCAGGAGGCTTTCCCCACCAATATCATCCAAATAGAGGGTGTTTTGTTGGGTTAGATCGCATTAATAGAAATGTGTCGTTAAATCCCTCCACCACCCGACACAGCAAATTAGTCAGGTTGCTCCCGTAAACAGAACGTGGCCAATTCGTCACGAGTACAGCACGCCGGTGTGTTGGAGCGCAACGCCACAACATTTACACTCTGAGTACGACGTTTCGCCAGTAATTACAACTAGCTTCATCAGGCGACAGCCAGATTTGCAGAGAAATCCTCCTGCTTCGTTTCCTTAAATAGAGGGATAGATGTGATGGCGTCACTTGTGAGCCCTTCACGTGGGAAAGGGGGTGGGGGGGGGGAATTCATGAATACAAATAAATGACAGTGGATACCCATTTCCGGTTGGGTTATTCATTCTCCATTCTCCTCCGTACGAAGCCGGCGAATAACGAGCGGCAATTAATCAAAATAAATTCACGTCGCCCGGTTTGAACACAACCGATCCCAACCGCATTGACGTGCTCGCAGAAACCCCCACGCGGCCAAACCCGACAGCTGCAATCAACGAGTGAATTACAGATTCCCGCATCGATGACCCACGGCACACGAGGCGGGCAAGAGAGGGAGATTTCGCAAGCGGGGAGTCCGCGGCGCGGTATTGAACTTGTCTCCCGCCCCGCGTCCGTCCATCGCTCTTTGGGATTTATGCGAGAGCCAGTCGGCCGGCGATTTTATAGAAATGGGCTCCGTGAAGTCTGACCGCCTCCTTGCACCGCCGCAATCGGAGTATTGACCGGCGCTCTTCCTCCAGAGAAATATATTTTACCAACGTGGGGCACGTGGGCTCGCCTCCAGAGACACACGTGGGCCAGTTATGGTGACGATTCCTCGCGCGAGTGTGTGTGTGTGTGAGCGCGCGTGTGAGCACGTGCGTTAGAGTGAATGTCGCGGTGGTGAGAGCTCTCAACGCACTAGTCTTGAAGTTATCATCGGCGTCGTCATTATTTGCGATCATCGTCATCATCATTGCCATCGTCACCATCATCGTCGTCACCACCACCATCATCATCATCATCGTCACCAGCACCGAATCCACAAACACCACCATCATCATTATCATCACTCCCACCACCACTATCACCATCACTGTCATGATCATCACTACCACAATCACTATGGCCCCCATCATCATCATCATTTCTCTGGGTTTGATGAAATAAGTATCACTGGCTTATACTCTATGGTTCTTTCGGTAAGAACCATAGAGTAATTCCTGCAGTCACGAAAGCTCCAAATTCAAGATCACTGGCTTATGTTAGATAAATGTAGAATTTCCCTCACTGCCACGGGACATCCCATGGAAACGAGCATTGCATCGTGCTCGTGTGAGCAAAGAGAGGCTTTCGACAGGGGCTGGATAAAATAAAATAAAAATACTCATCTATCCACACGGACGGTAGCGAACGTCGCCCCCACGTGCCCGTCACGGTTGATCATCATTCTGCCTCCTCGTCGGCCTGTCCCTCGACGCCACGGAACGATCACCAACGCGCAAAGGGGGCGACGTCCAATCAGCGACTCGCAAGGTCAAGTACTTGGCTCGACCTTCGACGTGCTATGGGCGCAAAGGTCAAACGCACGCCGTGCCCACCGACACGCTGGTTTTGCCAGCCCATTTGCGCACAGCGACGCACAGACACGGGCGCCTCGCAGGGCCAAGCGGTAACCGCTCGTAACATTCCACCAGCGTGGCGGCTTGCGAGGTTAAAACCATTTCCTCACCGCCACCAAACCACTCAACATCAACTGAAGACCACGGGCCTGCCTTGGGGTGAAGCAGAGAAAGCTACCGTCTGTCACGGCGTGGGCTTGTTGCGGCCTGTTGCTCCGCATGGAGCGAAGAGGAGTAAGTCAGTCACCGCCACCAAGACGGCTTTGCTAGAACCAAGTTGCGAGTTCACCACCGCACAACCAACACCGCCGCCGCCCGAGGTGGCTCCAAGGCCGAGAGAAGATGTCCCTCTCGGTCCCAGCGGCCTCTACCCCCACCCCACCCCAACGTAGAGTGGCCGACAGGAGTCGCGGCCGTTAATCTGCTCGCTGTGGGTGGGAGGGAGCCGACGGGGAAGGCATCCCCTACCCCGCTCAAGGCGCCGTCACATCCCCTTCGTCTCGGCTCGTCCACCCTAATCCTCATTAAAGCCAGGCCCGCGGAACAGCGGTGATAGGAACCTGCTCTGTCCGTAACCATCACCAACCCTCCCTTTCAAGGCCCCCCCCCAAAAAAATGGGTGCATTTCATCAATTTTGTCGTGTGCGTGTGAATAAAATGCAATCCTGCGGGGTAGTGCCTCTCGTGCGCTGATAAACAGGTTCCCGCTTCCGAAAACAATTAGATTTTTTTTTGGTCCACGTTTAACAACTTCCCCAATAATTAAATACACAGATTCGTAATGAAAGGGCAGAAGCGTCAGTGGGACGTGACTGATTCCCTTGACGATGCAGGAGGGAAACGTGTCCGCGTTTAGACAGAGTAAGTCCTCGTTTAGCGCGGTAGATGCGTTCCTGAGTAGTGCCGCGTTAAGCGAAAACCGCGTTTCGCGACACCAATTTCCCCATAAATGCTGTGACGATGAAGTTTGGCGAGATGCGATGTACTACCAGGCACACGCAGTGAGATCGCGGGACAAATAACTGAGGGCACGCCGCCACGCTACTGCATCATTCCGAAACTAATGAATCCCACTGCTCAGCCACGCAGCTCAAGAAAGTAGTTCGTCGTTGACGGCTCAGAAACCGCGTTATAGCGGTGCGCGTTCTGCGTTATAGCGGGGCGCGTTCCGTAGTTGTGCGAAAAGTGTTCTCGATTGGAAGAACCGCGCGTTATGGTAAAAACACGTGTGAACACACGTTAAGGGAGGACTTACCCTAAATATACACACATTACTTTGACCCGCACCCCCCACCTTGCCTCAGCATTAGACACCACAGAGGGGCATGAGTGTTGTTAGTGAGCACCTATTAAGGAAAGCCAGCTCGGCCCATGAAGACGCGGTGGTACGGCCAGCCGTGATATCACGCCCCGGTTGTCTTTGTCTCTCCAACACTGACGTTTACGCAGCTGGATCAGGTACTCTGTTAAGGCTGAGTCTACCTAGGGGAGGCACTGATTAAGACAGGTTCGGATAAAGCAACGTGCCGCTGATGCGGTGCACCCGTGGCTAGGAGGTGAACCTAGGTACACACACAGACAGTGCAGTCATCAGGAGAGGGCTGTGCCTGCTTGACGTCGG